CTTCAGCGAATTTTGGTTTTTCATTTTCGTCTAATTTTTGGAGCGCCATTCACTTGACTGTTTGACAGTTTCGAAGTAATATTTATATACCCACATCTCGTCACCAGTATATTTAGATTAGTATGATTGTAGGGTTCACAGCTACTTTGCCAAGCATCTTTTTGCGATCTCTGCTAGACGTAATTTTTGCAAAAGATTCAGGTCTTTTGGACGAGCCTTGCATTTAGACACATCATACCCAAAATATTAACCAAATGTTTTGAGTCATTAAAAGAAGGGTCTGGTTGACTCGCATGAGGCAAGTTTTAGATGATTGCACGACCTTAACCGAATGATTTGTGTAGCTCCAATATTTGTGTTCGTGATAAAGTAGACTCCTAAAAATATTGCTACAAAATTGTCAACGATTCCGTAGCCGTGATTCCATTAGAATTTTGGAAAAATTTCAGGCAAATTCGTTGTTCAATTTTTTTTCCATGGCAAAAATCGCCAGATTAACTTTTTGCGTCGTAAAATAAAAATAAAACAGGTTGTAACAATCTAAGAGAAACTTTTCCTCGACCAGTCCGGGTCAAATTTCATCAGCTGTTAAAATGGAACTTGGTGGCTGCCTGGGTGGATGATTTGTCAGAGCATTGGTTGTCTGCTGTTGCTGTCACAGCAATGATTGGCGAGTTAACATGTTATTATTTCTCAGGATTACAGTAAGAAGTATACCACAACTCAACTCTCAAAAATCAAAACTTCGTCAAAGCTACCTAGTGAGTAGTAGTTAAGAAAAAGAAAGCATTGTTCCAAGACTGTTGAGGTAATGGGAGCAAAATATATTACTTGGGCCAGAAGCGTTTAAGTAACCTAACGCGTGACATTAACAACATATTCAAAAGTTCAGTCATACATACATATGTACGTATTTATAGTAAAAGTAATATATTTTTAAGTACATTACAATAATAATTTTTTTTATAATAATTACATACTTGCGTCAATTTTAATTAGAATTGAAATTTTGCTATTGAAAAATAAAATTTTACGTATTTTAATTACCTAAAATTTATTTACAATTAATAGTTGTCCATAATTATTAACTAATTATGTCAATCAAGCGAGTTTATATTTATATACATACATACAAACAATTCAAATAACTGTCGCTGATGTGAAATCCATGCAAGTATTTGCGGTTATTTATTTCTTTAATTGAAAAGTGAATTTGTTCACAAAAAGCATACATACAAACAAATAACCATTCGAAAACTTTGTAATATGCATTCAGCACGCAAAGTTTAGCATATATAGCTGGCAATTAGTTTGTCTGTATGTATGTACATTTGTGTGAAAGCATTGCATGCATGCGCGTGTGTATGTGTGTGTTGCTACTACTCAGTGAATCGAGAAATTTGTATGGCGTTTAATTGAAAGCGCAGGCAATTTATTTTCAGCTATCATTTCAATATCTCGATTTGTTGTGATTTACTCGTGCCAATTCCTAGTTGCGCCGACGTTTGCATGTTGAACACATTTAATTCAGTCACCAAATAAAATGTATGTGTATTTTAGTACTAAATAAAGAGCTAGAAATAAATGTGAATGCTAGAGCTTAAGTAATAGCAAGTACACATGCATATATGTATGCATATACATTTGTATACAAATATTTACATAAATGCGCGTTGACACATGCAAAGTAAAAGTCCAGTTAAATTTGCTTTCATGTTGGAAAAATATACTGGACGATAGATGTGCCTGTGTGTGTGTATGTGTGTTGGCATGCAACACGGTCGCTTGATGACAGCTGACAACGTTAACTGCTTTCAGTAAATTTACAATCTAATGATTTCGGCACAAAAACTAAGTGGAGAAAAAACTTCTAATCAAATGCAAACAGTGAATTTATCACGAATTTTAAAGCAATTGCTGGAGCCATAATGGCGCACAAAAGAAATTAATGAGCTACAAATTAAGCTCGAGCAGTCTAGGGGGCTAAATTAGTGCAATGCGAAATGAACAGAACAACACAAATAACAGTAATAAATAAAAAAAATTAAAAAAAATAAATGGTAAAAAATTTCCACCATTGTAATCAGCGGCCATTTCCTATGTAAATGCGACGATTGAGTGAACACTGGCCATTAAAATGTTAATGTGTTTGCTTGCCGCATTAGGCGCTGCCGGCGCTACAGTCGCTGTCAAAACGTGATTATAATTATATAATTTGGATATATTTGCTTGCAAGTATATTCCTGTAATTATTTAACTAATAACTAAAATTTTTTGATCGATGGCTTTCAGCACGTAAAATATGTGCTCCGCCGCGTTTACAAATAAAGAGGGCTTTACTACCCCAAAATTACAGTTATTTATTCTAAATGTTTAAATGAGCGCCGCCTTTAGTACTAAACACTATATCTTGCTCTTCTATAAATAATTTAGCATTTTTGTAACCGTTGATATCGCTACGTAAGCGGTAAGCTTTGACGTGACCGTGCTTTTACATTAAAACTCAATAAAAACACCTTAACTTCGGCTGCTCTGAAGCTATGATACCCTTAACAGATGCATTTATCACTCCGATATTATATATATTAATTTTATAGGCTCTTCGACGTTTACTTCTGTTCAGGGTATAAATAAAACGGAACTCCAACAACACTTTGGTCGCCATTTATAAGACCTTTTGTTGTTTCGTTCCTTTTTTAACCACTTCCTTCACATGTTTATAAATATTTGTATTTGTGAGGGTTGAAAATAGAAGCGTTGAAAGATATAACTACCCTCCACCTACTCACACGCCCACAATGAAAATTGTACACAAATTTGTACTCACTTTCAAAAACGCACTTTTTTCATGCTCTGCCGTCGCAGCTCAGTTAGGGGGGGCGATTGGGCTGGGCGTTACAAAATGGTGTGGAAAAAGTGGAAAAAAGCGGTCTGCTCGAAATTGAAATGTGGCATTGTTCCACACGTTTAATGCGTTCATGAATTTTTAAAGTGCTTATTTTCATTTTACACTTTTTATATCATACGCGTACATAATAAATAATGGCACTTATTTAAAGTATGCTCACATCGACAGTAAAGTTTGTGCAACTACATATTTTAATCATTTCCTAACTTTCGTTCTCGAAAAGTATACATTTATTAGAACAAAATCAAGGATGCCCTTTCGGTTTGTTTTTCAAAAGTTTTAAAGTGTTAAATGACAACGCAATTTTAAGTGAAACTTTCTATGAATAATATAATATTCAAGTAGATATATGTTTTCGAGAGATACCTTCAAAAGTTGACTTTCATGCGTACTTCTCTGGTTCTCATATTTAAGTTTTACGCTCTTGTCAAAAAATTGACTTCTGAAAGTAACAACACAAATTTCTAGATGAATTCTGTACAAGAAAGTATATGGATATTTCATTAAAGTTATACAATCGTCTGCTATTCTACCTCTTGTTGTTTGTTCTACCTCTCCCTATAGTTTCGCAAAAACTTAACGGAAAAATCCATTTTTAATTTACCTTTCGCATCACGTCATAAAATGCTTGAAAGACTGAATGCTAATACCAAAAGTTTTGGCTTTACTGCGCTTCAAACTTTCTTTTGTTATTTTAGACAAGCCTTTCGGTAATTTTAATAATAAATTCTCTGGAACGTTTGCGATTCTTTCGCATCATTATATATTTATAAATCACATGATTACTGTATATGGCTCTTTATTTTGTGAGTAATCCAATGTGGTCTATGTAAAGTTTCATTATCGGTCAGAAACACTTAATATATAATATTTTTTTTGCTATCCAATTTATACATTTTTTTAAACTGAGACCATTTTTACCATGAAACAAAATTGAACAAGGAGTTTGCTTGAAATTTTGTATTTCCAATAAAATCGCGGCTACGAAATCGTCCATCCACCTCTAATAATGACGATACATGACATCAAAGAAGTTAAAGAAACTGTGCTCGAAAATAGTTGTATTGGCTTCAGAGTAATTGCATAGGATTTCTACATCTCTAATGGATCGACTCACCACATTTTGGCTTACGTTTTGGACATCAATCGTGTCAATGCTGGATTCGTGAATCTTTTGTGAAAACGCCATCGAGCAGAGGTGCAAAAAAGATGGTTGGCAAAGCAGCTGAAGACTTTACATTCATCAATCGCCTAATTACGGTGACAAGACGTGGGTTTATGTATAGACGTCGAAACTGTTCAATAATTTAGTGAATGGTACGCCAAAAACGAGCCGAAACCTAAAAGACCATTTGAAAGTCGGTCAAAAATCAAAGTGATGCTCATCGTTGGTTCACCATGAATTCGTTCCATGGAGAAATGGAAATGGAATAGTACTTTTCCATTTTGAGCCATCTACGTCAAACAATTCGTCGTAAACGATCGGATTTGTGTGCAGTAAATTAATGGATTTTCACCACAATAACGCGCCGTCACATTCTAATATGTTTGTGATTGACTTTTTTGAAAAAAAATCCAAACGAGAGTCATCGTTAAGCCACCGTATTCGGCAGATTTGGCTTCCTGTGACTTTTTTCGGTTTTCGAAACTGAAAAATCGGCTTCGGAACACGCGCCGTGAGTCCATGGAAGCAATCAAAAGTCATTCGCTAAAGACACTGAAGTGCAACTCAACCGAGGCTTGTAGCAAGTGTATGGAAAATTGGTTTACGCGTTGATATGCTTGTATTGGCGCGGGAGCCTATTCTGAAGGCGATAATAAAGATTTGTAATAAAATACATGAAACGTGAACGTTATTTTTCACAAAATCACTTTAACTCAGTTGTTCTATAAATACATGAAGTTACAAAATAACATTTTTAAGTTTTCAGAGTATGCAAAATGGGAGCTCTGACAGTATAACTGAATTTAAATGAAAATAATTGATCACTTTTTCATATTATTAATGACATAGTAACATTATTATACTCATAAAGAAGTCGTATATTTTAAGCTGTATAACAAGTAGTCACGTTTTAGTAACAACACTCACCTCCATTTCGTGCGTCGATTCTGGAACCAAGTCTTCACTTGTGCATCGGTCATCTTAAGACCGCGCGCCAGTGCCGCTCGCTCGGCGGACGCCAAATATTTTTGCTTGTGGAAACGTTTCTCTAATTCGGCGACTTGTATGCGTGTAAAGGATGTGCGAGGCTTTTTCCGCTTTGGTGGTGTGCGATTTTGATACGGATGTCCGATGCGACGGGTGATGGGAAAAGCAGCTGTAAAAAGAAAACAAAAACAAAAGGCACATCATTTGTATATTTAATGGACTTGTAGCTATAAACGCATGAAGAAGCTGGTTATTATTTAAGAGTCTTCATACAAATACAATATTTAAGCGAAAGGGCACGCAATTTCGTCGATATTTCGTATATATTTATTTGTCTCATTGTCGACAATGGCGTCTAAGCAATCGGCCAGCGAACTCAACTTAATTTAATTGTAGGGTTTCAGTTTTGAAGCAATTTGTAAAGCAATAAATTTCCAAAGATAACAAGCAATTTCCGATATTTACTTCCGGCACGGCTTAAGCGCCTACGTGCATGTGTATATGTGTGGCGGTGCGTTGTGTCAGCAAATGTACCTGTATAACGGCGCAGCTCATCGGCGCGAATGTGCCACAATGTATTGTATCAATTATCCTGTGTATACCTGCTGTGAAATCAATTAAACACTTCAAAATGACCGCGCCCCGAACAGCGAGCATGCAACCAGACTAATGCCGCTATATCTTCCGCATACATACATACATACATTGATGCGATCCTAATTGCTGTTGTTATCCTAAATTCGACTTATCAGTCATACTTAAATAGTTGGAGTGTCTTGCGTGTACCCATTGGAAGAGGTAAGTGCGTGTGTCATTTGCGCTTAGCTAAGCCCAACGACCTGTGCAACAGACGGACGCTTCATTATTACAGACATATGTATGTATATGTGTTGGCATTTCACTTTTTCATTCATAAAATTATTAAATTTGTTATACCTTCGTCTTAGCGGCGAACTAGCGCCGACGCATGCAATTAAGTTTTTATGTTATTTTAATAGTGTTTAAATGCATCAAAAGTGTCTGAATGCGGACCATCAACCGAAAGTAAGATTATGTTTTTTGTTTGTTCTGATAATTGTGTATATTAATTGCTTGTTTTTAGTAGTGAACTCTTTGTATGAAAAAATTATGCTATACACCACCTTGCTCAAGAGAGACATTGTAAAAAAGTTAGCTGCCGGGATATCGTCATCACAGGTGGGTATATATAAGTTCTAGTAAAAAGAAATCCATTATATTTCCAATAGATGCTTCAGTAAAACTATACATAAATATAAATTATGAAGATACAATTTAGTACAGTTCTTAAACAGTTTTGTGTTACATGACACAGTATTGCTTCAGAACGCGTTCAAAATGGACATCAGCAAAGCGGAAGTACGTGGCTGAAAATGTGAACAGAATTAATGGTACTGATATTGTAATAGCTAATCACGTGCAATTTTAGTGTCTGCGATTCTGTTCCGGTAATTTTTCCAAAAATAAAAGTAATAGAAATGTAATGTTTCGATTGCACAGGAGATAAACATTGCACAAAAATTTTGATTACTGAAGATAAAAAATGAATCAGTTATGACAACATCAAACGAAATGATCGAATCGTGGTGAACCGGCGCAAGCGGTGGCAAAGCCAGTATTGACGGGCAAGAAGGTTTTGCTGTGTGTTTAGTGGGATTGGCAGGGAATCATTTATCCCCCACGGCCAGACTTTTAATTCGGACCTTCACTGTCAACAATTACACCGTCTGAAAGAAGCGATCGCCCATAAGCGGCCAGCTTTGGCGTATAAGAGAGAACTTGTGTTCCATAAGGACAAGCCAGAGTACACACATCGATAGTGACTCGCCATAAACGTGGGCCCTTGGTTGGGAGGTTTTTAAGCACTTTATAGTCCGGAACCGGCACCAAGTGAGTACTACCTATTCCTGTCTACGGCAAATGATTTTGCTGGTGAAAAATTCGCTAAAGAAAAGTTCGTGGAAAACGAGTATCACACTTTTTTGCCAATTGGGACGTAAAAGTAACTATAGAAACTTACCTTCAAAATGGCAACAAGTAAGTTATCGAACAAAACGGTGTATGCTAAATAATACTTTCGATTAAATAATAGATTTTATTTGACTAAACTTTATATAAGGATGTATTAGCTAGTAGCCCTAGGTATAAAGAAAAAAAATTGTTACGAGTTCGAAATTGGAAAGTTTTGGATAAGCTTAGACGTCTCAAATTTTTGGTTACTATAGTTCAGGCTTTTGTTTCTTTAATCACTCTTATAACTAAAAAAATATCATTAAAGTATCAATTATATAAAATTTCCTTTCCTTTAAATATGTATCGAACTTAATTTAATTATCGAGAGTGGAAGCGAGTTCATTAAAAATAACGAAAATATGTAAAAATTAAATATTTCGATAACATAAATTCTTTTTTTTTACTTTATCATCCACCTACATTTTCCTTATTTTACCCATTCAATTTTCGAATTCCATAATTCCTTAGAATTTTTTACTACTTACAGTTCAAGCACGTGATCACGTGTTAAACTGACAAATCGCATTTCTTATTGATGATTTCTGCAAAGGCACATAGAGAACAGCTAAGTCAGAGCTCAACTCATTTTTTATACTTGGACGAAGGTAAATGCGGAACAATTTCAAATTTTATATGTTGTTTATGTTTCGACGTTAAACCGTAAATTTACGAGGAATCAATACGCTGTGAGTTTACGGCCAATCGAAAATTCACACGTAACTGAATATGCGCTATATATCACATGTATGTATGTATGTAGTATACCTGCTTTATGTGCTTTGGCCATATTTTTGGTAATATCAATTGCAGTAAAAGTCATTTATCGCACCGCAAACGCTGCACATCATAAGCACATGATTTGCCACATACCTCTCATACATATAACGGCATTTGCAGATTGAGCTGAGCACGCGTGTATAGGTATATACATCTGTATGTATGCGCCTACTTTATATGAAGTCATGCTTGGCGTCAACCTCAATACCAACCCCATTTTCAGGCCCAAAATCTACGTGTATCGACGTTGTGAACGTTACCGATTTTACGACTGTGGCAGCCGCAACCTGCAATGAAAAGCGCTTCAAGCTTGGGGCAGGCTTTTAAATCCCTTGTAAACCACGTAAGCATAATTTTATAGGCCCACCATTTAAAGCAACGAATTATGTGGCTGTAAAAGTGTTATGAGCACACACATATACCTCACATGAGTGGGGACTGCTGGTGAATAACGGCGGTTAGAGGCGATTGAATTTGAATATATCAGAAACGCGGTGAAAATTCGAGCAATAACAAACACAAACAAAGACACCAACAAAATTGAGTACTAAATATTTGTATGGAAGCAACATAAGAGGCCGCTTAACGGTAACAGCTCACTTGTGGAACGCCTGTAAAACATACGTGCATGTGTAAAACAATCTTGCAACAGCTCGACGGATTTACATAAGTACATTTTTATTTATTATTTCCCCACACAAATGTTTTTAAATAATCCGAAGGGGATATGAAATTTTATGATATCAATCGAGTGCTTGAGTGTTTCCTGCATCTATGGCTGCTTCTTGAGCGTTCCACTCCTCGACGTTTCCTTCTTCTTATGCTGCGAGTAGCGTCGCTTGAATGTGGTGGCTCAAGCACAAGACGAATAATGCGAAAAGCTTTTAACATGCATTATTTATGCGGAAAACCGACGAAAACCGGCGAAAGGACGAGTGAGAACGGTGTGGCATTTGCCTAATATGTATATATAGTTGTATGTGTGTATGTATTTATTGTGTAGGATACGACGACCTTTCGAAAATGTGAATACCCCAGCATAGTTAGTAGTTGAACTTGATTTAGATAAATTGAAAAATAGCTAAGATATGATTTTTGTGGTTTAACAGGAGCAGAGCAGAGCAACAAAGTTCGTTGCAGAATAAGAAACTTACTAAGACTTCGCTGCGTTGCATTGGAAAAGTTTTACTTTGAAAATATTTAACGACTGCTTAAGCATCGATTTACGTTTATGAAAGTACTTAAGCAAATTGCTTCTTCCATATGCCGTAATCGGGCAAAGAAGTCATTTATAATGGCAGCTTTTATGAAAATTATTTCGAACGAAAAGTTTTTGTCATAAATTAAAAGTTATTGAAGAATCAAAGCGGTCAAACTGTAGATTTTCGAGCCTTAAATTTGTGAAATATTTATTGTATATGTATGTATGTATATAAAAGGTAAGCTTGCAAATTTATACAAAATGTATATATGTTAAATATAAGAAAATATGAGCGACATGTATATATGTATGTACAACAATTAATGGGTTGAATATGAGGAAATTGCGTCATTAGGTACATTACATTATTTATATGTATGTTATCAACGCAAAATAAAAATAATTTACTATAGTGGTCCGATAAATACATAGACTTTTAATATAAAAATTAAAACTTCGAAAATTGTGATTTAGTTCGCCACATATTCTCCCTTTTGCTCGATACATTTGACTCAGCGATGCTCCAAAGTCTATAACCCATCTGAAAAAAAGATTTTCTTGCTAGCTATAACCTCTTTATTCGACTTAAATACCGACAGATATTGTTTTTTTTTCTTTTTTTTTTTTTAATAGGCGAACAAGCGTGTATTCACACATGGTCAAAGCAAAAGTACGACGTCACCCGGCCATCCCCATAACCATATCTTTCGATGTGGCCCCATCTGGCGTTGATACTAAATTATTGCTAGACTATTCTCACGTGGTAAATAATAAATATAAGTATTTTCAATATCTTTTTCAATTAAAATGTGTTAAGCTGCTAAAGCAACTTTAGTTGACTTTGCTGTTTTAAGCAGATTTAAGTTTACCGGACAGACTAGTCGTTTGGGAATATCATAAATATTTGATATTAATCATCTCCAATCTTATCACTTATTATTCAAGATATAGAGTCATAGGTTATAAATTCCTATATTTTACCGATTTTTTATATCAAAATTCGCAATGTAAAGAAGTTAAGATATCACTTATTCTATGTAAAGTTAGCTGCATGGATGTCATTGGCGAAAGCTTTGAACTGATTTATCTCCTATTTCAGAATATTCTGAAGCGAATGCTTAGTGGTAATAAAAAGTGAAAACGGTCGTGGTGTGCTGGCG